AAAAAAAAAAAAAAAAAAAAAGCGTCAGAAGGAAAAGATATGTGAAAGAGAAAAAAAGGATGAAAATTTGGATAATATGTTATGCGCACTTACGAAAGAAGTGTGGACGGATGAAAGGAGACACAATAATATCCTTAAGAAAAGCATATTTAATTATTTTTTTCTGTTTCATTTATCTACATATTTGTTAAGTTATTTTTTTAATTACACTTTTGTTCGAATTTTTTTTTTTTTTGTTTGTTCTTTTAGGATTATTACAGCTTGTTAGGAGTTGCTAGAGATGCGACAGCAGATGATATAAAGAAGGCCTATAGGAACTTAGCCTTGAAATGGCACCCAGATAAACACATAAATGAGAATGATAAAAAGGCTGCGGAAGAAAAATTTAAAGCTATTACTGAAGCTTATGATGTTTTGTCAGACCCTAGTAAAAGAAAAACGTATGATTTGTTTGGTGCTGAAGAAGTTAAGGGAAATATGTCTAGTGACGATGCAAAATTTTTTAATACAGGAGTGGATCCAGCTGATCTATTCAATAACTTTTTTAGTTCCAACAAAAAGTTCTCGTTTACATCAGTTTTCGATGATGACTTCCCGCCATTTTCGTCCTTCGTCCATAACATGGGTTCTAGGGGCACCCGTTTTTCGGGTCCTTCAGGTTAAGAAATGGAGAAGTGGATGAACTGCGAGAAGAGAATTCGTTCCGCATGTTCACATTTACATATGTACTTATATATATATATATATATGTGTATAAATTTATACCTTCCCCCAACCCCCGTTCTATAACAGGTAAAAATCAGGACAGTCATAAATCAGAATCTTATGAAGTATCTCTTCTACTGTCCCTGGAGGAGCTGTATAGAGGATGCAAAAAGAAACTCAAAATAACTAGAAAAAGGTTTAAAGGAAATGAGAGCTATGACGACGATAAAGTGGTAACTATAGATGTAAAAGCGGGATGGAATGAAGGAACGACCATTACGTTTTATGGTGAAGGTGACCAATCGTCTCCTTCGTTAGAACCGGGTGATTTAATTTTTAAAGTAGAAATAAAAGAACACGATCGCTTCGTGAGGGAAGGGAATGATTTGATATATAAGTGTCTTGTACCTCTAGACAAGGCCTTAACAGGTTTTCAATTTAGTTTAGAATCTTTAGATAACAGAGAAATAAATGTAGTAATAGATGATATTGTTACGCCTAATTCTAGGAGAATGATTCCAAAGGAAGGAATGCCTTCTTCAAAGAACCCATCCAAACGTGGAGATCTAATAATTGAATTTGAGGTTATATTTCCAAAGAGCTTGTCTAGTGAAAGAAAAAAAATACTAAGGGAGGTTTTAGCCAATACATTTTAAAACGAATGTTCCCGAAAAAACTAAATTAATGAAAAGGATGTTACATGATATGCCAGAGTGTGAGATTTAACGCCTGTAAATATTATGTAATTTCCTAAAATTTGATTAAGTTTAATAAGTACCCCCAGGATCATTCGATTCTTATTACGTCATCTTACCATAATACCAGTTCTCTGCAGTGAAGAAAAATGAATAGAATTTAGGTTTTATCTAACTAGTGTATAAAACAAATAATTACATAAAATTTGTTACCTTTTAAATGAATAGAATAATAAAAAATATATTGTAAGTTTTTGTATAAAATGTAATATTTAACCATTTTTTCCCTTCATTTTTCTTCACTCGTTTTTTGTTTACCATCTCTTGTTTTTCGTTTTTTATTACTTTATTTCCTCCCCCATTTTTGACATATCTTAATTTGTAGTTATGTTTATGTGTAACCTTTACTTTTAGTTTTCACCATAATGTTGAATTATGCGTTCAAATATTTTTATACATATATATTTATATACATGTATCATATGTATATTCATATAACCGCTTGGGATGAAGAAGAGGATAAAAAGGGGAACTCTTTTAAAAAACAACTTTTTTTCGACGTTAATACTATAATATTTTAGAAAATTTTCCACCTTAAATGGTTAATGTGTGTGTGCGGAGGCTGTATTAATAGATGTGCGATTGGATAACATTTTTAGGAACATGAAAAAAAAAATGACTACATACAAAAAATGACTCTATGCTGTCAAGATGACTTTTGGATATAAAAAATGATGCATGTGTTTTATTTCGATTTATTGGGGACACGCTTAGGTGTAATAACACGCGTAGCGTTATATAATCCGGGCAATAACGATGTACATTATTACAGCGTGTTATCAAAAATTTGCAAATTTCATCGTTCCCGTTTCTTGATGACTTATGTTCAAGACTATATAAAAAAAAAAAATTAGTGCACCGTTTGGCTAAACTAGCTTCCCCGAACAGTCTACTTTTGCATATTATTTATAATTAAAAACTCTGCAGAAAATACTAATCAATATATTCGTAAGAATAAGGGGAAATATGTGGCCTTTCTTCTTGTTCTTTGCATACTCTCCAGTAGAACAATTTTCTTTGATAGTGGTTATAGGGTTAGACACATAAAAAGCAAAGGAAAAATGTTGATTAGCAGTAGATTGAAAAAAGGAGCTATTTACTAATACCTATATGTCTTTAATAATTATGATGTTGAATTTGCTTAATAGAAGGAGCTATCTTTGAACCTTTACTAAATGATTGGTTTATGATAAATCAGGAGGGTCATAATATGATCATACATATAAACTGAAGAGCATGTAGAATAGTTGAATCATGGATGTAGAAGAATGAAAAATAAGGCCAATGGAAGTACTGAATAAGGGGTGATGGACATGATACAATAATAATGCAGCCATAAGGTGCAGAAAATATTTACATTGAACTTGGCACATGAAGCACTTGTACGAGCATTGAAGCGGAACAAGCAATGCATAGGAAATTGTATGTACAACCATGTGAGGTATTTTTTTTGTTTTGTTTTTATCATACAATTGTAATCAAACTTTTCTATAAAAATTTTAAATTTGTAAAAAATAAAAAAAGTTACAATCTTTTTAATACATTCACATTTGAAATGCAAAAGTGTTATAGCTGTTAAGTACATATTGATTCTCTAATAATTGTAATGTTCCTTTTTACCCTTTGGGTATAAAACACACCATTTCGTCATATAAAGAATGCTATAAAAGATTGGTCCATTTTACTGTATTCTTATGTTCGAAAGGTATATAATGCTTTCTACGTGCTGATTGTGTATTTCGCAGTAATGCAAAAGCAACGGTGAAAGGGGAGGGGAAGACATTAACGGTAGGTGCTGCTGGATAAGGTTTGATTGCTTACGTTTGTTAGTCTAAGCAGCTGATAAAATGAGTATATGATATAATGAAAATTATATGAAGGTTCATCTGAGTGGATTATTATTATTTACATAAAAATGTGAATGTAATTTTGATGCTAAAAATTTCACAGTAAGCAATAAAATGAAGGATTCTGTTAGGTATCGTCTAATGGGTAATAGAGTAGGACCTTTATAAAATCATTAAAGGTAAAAAAACATTGCAGACAAATATACCATAATTAAGGTACCGCATCGATATCGTTTATCATGAACGGTGTAACTTACTAGTTTAATTGTGCATGTTTGACAAATGATAGTATACAATTGATAAATAACTGCTAATTCGATAAATTTCAAGAAATGTTCGCATAAAATTGGATGCGCTAAAAGGGTAGTTAGGCTATATAACTTGAACAAGCAGATGCAATCCTATTTTTTTTTTCTGATTATGAGACAATTGAGCTTTAGTTGCTGAGCTTCTTAGAAAGTACAAATATTTACAAGAATGTATAAGTTCTTGTTAAGAAATATATTTGTGTTCGTAACTGTGACACATATTTTATCTTTATGTTAAGGGAAAGAACAGTCGCATGTTTTCTATCTCGAAACTGCTAGTTAGCACTTTCGAGTTTTATTACAAATAGATCATCAATAAATATTTTTGTTCATAATAAACACACATAGATATGTTTTTAATCTACACGCGGATTACGAATAAGCTGAATAATATTATGTGTACAGACCGAATATGTTATGCCTAATAAGCTCCCTTTTGCATGAACAGTACGAATCGCATGTTTTACAAGGAAATTGTAAAGGCACATATATTTATCAGAATGGTTAATCGGAATTTTTATATGCGATATGGTATAACATTAGAGGTAGAAAAAAAAGAGGCTCTTTCGGATGTCTAGGTTTAATAAGCCACTATGAAACGATGTTATTGTCTACAATGGAGGAAGAATTAATTATCTGCTCCTTTCTTCTACACAACGTGGTGACGCATGATCTAATAATAAGTATACATGTTGCGCAGATGATACATAGGTGCCATCTAAAACATGTTAGGTGGGGCACTATATATGTTTAGTTTTTATTGAACGGTATTTTTTTCATTGTTTCTATGTTCATGAACCAAAAAAATCTATTTAATATGCAGCATATATTCATATACTCATGTATGTACATTTGTATATACATATATGTAGTGAATATGTAGATCCTGTTGAAGTATTATTTGTCCAAATAATTTTAAAAGAAATTATTATTATATGGAAAAATATAATAGTCAGGTATGGTACGAAAAAAGATGTCCATATGGAAAAGAGTAAAAAAAAAAAAAAAGGTCTTTGGACATATTAGAAAAATGACTAAGCAAAATAAACCAAATGTACAAGATTATTAAAGAAGCACAATTGTAACATGATAAAAAAAGGAAAAAGGGAGAAATATGTTTATTTGAATGATGCGCAAATTTGTCAATCGGAAAAGTAAGTTTATGAATCAAGAACAGAATATGTTAAATATGTTTTTTATTTAACAATGAAAAAAAAAAAAAAATATATCACACATAGCATTTACGGTATTCGCAGCTTACATATGTATATCTATCATATAACACGAATAAATATTAAATTAGATGCACCTTAATGAATTTCATTTCATCATTTACAAGAATTATCTGCTCTTATAATAATACTTCTCTTTGAGCGGGTACAGGTTCTCGTCCCATCTAGATGCTATTTCATCATCTCATCTAGGTTCCTTTTTATCTTCTAATCTAGGTTCCTTTTTATCTTCTAATCTAGGTTCCTTTTTATCTTCCAATCTAGGTTCCTTTTTATCTTCTAATCTAGGT